GCAATGGACAAGATATTTTTATCCTGGTTCGTTTGATCTCAAACTACTCCAGTCCACCCGTCAAGGTGATTTCGCCTCTCTCCAACGAGGTCTTAATCCACTATATTCAACTGAATATTACAATCTGCTTTAACAACTGCTAAAGCCTTCTTGATGCAAACCACAACTCGGTTTGTCAAGGAAACACTTTCTTACAAAGAAGATAAATCTAGGTGTGTGAATGTTTTCTACAAAACTATTTATCACAACTGTGATATTACACAACTTAAGCTTATGATACTAGATTGCTAAAATACTGAGTGAGGAATTGTGAAGCGTTTAGCAAACTGAGAGAAGGAAGATGATGATTAGCTTTTAGGCGTGTAATATGATGTAGAGCATTAGCCAATTCAATCTTCATTGTCTTGTTTATATAGCACTGAGATTGTTGAACGTTGGAGCAATAATCTTGATTCAATGCCAATAACAAACTTTCCTTATTAAGCAGATCTTATCTGGAATGATGCCGTTGGTAATAATTTGCTTTCAATGCACAGTACCGTTGCAACTTAAAGCATGTTCTGGCTTGGCTCATTCTGACTCTGCTTAAGTGCTGATGAACTGTTGTTGTCTTTATCAGAGTGTTGAGCGCAGTTCTGTTCATCAAGCTTCAGCATTCGCGTGAGTTATTCTTCTGATTCTGGTATTCTGATATAGCATCTTCTGATGCTGACGTTGATAACTGATATTCTGATGCTGATTAAGATGTACTTTTGCTGATGCCTATCAGAGTTTCTGCAAAACAGAAAGTAATATTTTAGGTAGCAAATAGTTCTTACATGAATCACATAATTAATATATCATTTCATTTTGTTATCATCAAAACTTAAACTTAGGGTAGTAGATTCAAACTTTGTTCTAACACCCTATTCTCACGGAGAAGTTGACCAGGGGGAGTCCACTTGTTGGACTCCATACACACGTAAGCCCTGATAGTCTTCATTATTGGGCCTCAACATGGCCCGACAATGGAGACCTTAGCCAATGTTGGGGGCTATAAATACCCTCTCATTCGAGAGGGCCAGATATTCATTCTCATTCTCATACTCACACTTGCTTGCACTCTCTGAAGCTTACTTTAGCATCAAAGTATCTTGCAGATACCCCTCATCTCGCTTTCAACCTCAAATCGACGTAAGGCTTTGACGATCCATTCTGGTCAAGTACGATCACCTTAGTTTCCAAAGTTTTCAAATTTAAATATTTTCCTAACTCTTCTTTTCCGGCAGCGAGTTTAGGTACCAATCTAAGCTTTATATGATGGAGTTTATGAAAATCTCAGAAAATGATATTATTAGGGAGTAATGGAGGATTGAGGACGATAGTAGTATCAAGGTGATGTTGGATCCATGGATGAGAGGTAAATGAGGTTGTTGGTGTTGGGGAGTCTAGGAGAGTCTGGAGCACCAATGAGACCAATGTTCTAGGATCTCAAGAGAGAGACGCCACATCTCAACCCAAAACCTTAAGGTGTTAGATAAATGAGTATTCTCTCTTATAAATCCAACATTCCACTCATTCATAGGCAATGCGGGACTTTAACCACTCACACTTGCACCCAACATTCTACCCCACAAGTGTGAGTCCCCCATATCCTACAATAGGATCCAACACCGCATCCAACTCATGTCCCTAACCAAGTCGAACCACGACTCTGATACCACTGTTAGAGAGTCCGGAAGAATCGGGAGCACCAATAAGACCAATGCTCCAGGACCACAAGAGCTGGAGACACCACATCTCAACCTAAAACCTTAAGGTGTTAGGTAAATTAGTCATCTCTCTTATAAATCCAATATTCATTCATTCATAGACAAGTGGAACTTTAACCATTCACACTTGCACCTAACAGTTGGGTGGAAGCACCACAAGAGCAACATGTTTATATTTTGACGGTCCAGGAGCTTATGGACCCTCACCGTAAACAATGGGATGGAAAAAAATTGAACAACTGTTTTCACTTGAGATTGCTAATAATATTTTACAAGTTCCCCTTATGGAAGATGTAACGGAGGATCACATTGTTCGGAAGAAAGAGCGGAATGAAATCTACAGTGTTAAAACACGCTATAAACTCTGGTGGCATGAGGAGCATACAATCAATAATAGAAGGATGAAGGGTGACTGGTGGAGTTTATGGAGAATTAAAGCGCTTCCAAAAACCAAACATCTTCTTTGGCGCTTATGTCGGAGCTGCCTTCCTACTAGGAAAAAACTCCGAAAACACTATGTTCCTTGCCCGCATAGTTGTCAGTTGTGTAATGCAGAAGTGGAGGATTAGTGGCGCATATTCTTTGATTGTGCGTTAATGACTAATTGTTGGAATATTACAGGTCTTGAACATGTTATTAGACTGTGACTTGCATTATAAACGATGCGCGGGATATGATCCAAAACATTCGTAGTAAGAAAGATTTTAAAGTAGCAGGGAAAGTGGCCGTCATGGTTTAGGTGTTATGGAACATAAGAATATCTGGATTTAGAATGAAGAGAAGAAAAATACTAATCACCTAGGCTTGCAAGGTTGTTATTTGTGGAAGGACTGATTCTTGGCCCAAGAGCCGCCTGGAGATAACTCTAATAGGATCCAACATCATAGTGCTTGTCAACCTCCTCAAACTGGTTGGTTAAAATATAATGTAGATGCGGAATTTAGCGATCGTCTTGACACGACTAATAGAAGGTGATGTGTTATAGATTATGTTGGGATTTTTATTGTGGCAAGTACATTGTGGAATCACAATATTCTATTGTTGAAGCAGAGGCGTTAACTTTGAAGAAAGCGATCCAAGGAGCAATTCAATTAAATTTGACTCATATCATCTTTGAAAGTGACTCACGGTTAATAGTTCAAGTTACTCACGCTACTTCATCCGATAACTCTGAATATAGTATAATCATTGCTAGTATTAAAACTCTTCTAATTTCTCGAAACGACTTTGAAGTAAATTTGTTAAACGTCAAACTAATTGTGTTGCTCATAATCTAAATCGAACGGTAAATTCTTAATCTCAACGTATGATTTTTCATTCGAGTCCTCCTTATATTAAACTATATTTATTTAATAATATGAATTGAGTTTGTTTTTGTAAAAAAAAACTAGTAACCACTAGCATCATCATGTTCTTGTTTTTTTTTCCACACATATAAATTATAATTATCCAAGCTTAGTTTACAAGATAACAATAACAACCACACATGTATTATTAGGTTTTAAACTAATTTGATTTATTTAGTCAAACTTAATTTATAAAATGTACCAATAACACTAATTTTATATTTTATATTATTTAATATTATATTCAAATTTTATTTATAAGATGATAACAAGAATACATGTATTTATAAATTTTATATTATTTAATATATTTATTCAAATAGTAACGATGGCAAGACACTCAATTTTAAAATTTTAATTTTTTTAAATTTCTCTTAGACTAATTTTATTTTTTCTTTAATTTATTTCTCAGTCACACTAAATAGCCACTTAAAATAATTAAATTAAAACATGAGATTTTACTTAGTTAACACAAATAGAGAGTGTTACATTCTCTTAGCACATTCTTACACTGAAGCACATATCTAGCGTTATGTTTAGGACACCTTACAATTTAATTTACATCTCTATCCTTTTTTTCTTGAGAAGTTTATTTCTTACACAAATGTTGATTAAGGTGGATATCTCAACACTTGTTGATTATTTCGAGTTATTATATTTTCTTAGTGACAATGTTAACTATTCATCTATCCGAAAATCTTATCCAACATATATTCACCATGTTCAAGAGAAAATCAATCGTAATCGAACCCGTGTTCTTTATGTTCCTTCTCAGATTGTCGATATCTTTATCGAAAGATTTTCTAAAATTTTCTGTGATGATTTTTGAACTAATTTAAACATCTATCAACTTCCCACTCCGACTGCAAAAATATAATAAAATATATATTTATATTTATATATAAGTCTTACATCAACTATAACATATAATATAATACAAATCTCTATATATAAAATAATCTCTATAATACTATTCTCACACAATTAAACTTAATATCTTACAAAAATTCTCACACAATTAAACTTAATATCTTACAAAAACAATATCAGATGGTAGAAATTTTATAAATTAAATTTAAAATACAACAAAACACTTTTTAATAAATTTGAAAAAAAATTAATTTTCAAAGTCTAAAAGTCTAATCCAACTAAGCAAAAGCAAGTAAACAAAAGTGTGTACACTAAAAACACAGACAATTAGATTACAAAATCGAAATTCTGTGTCATACCCGACACCCTTAATTTAATTATTTTTAAGAGCTGCATTCTGATCTTTCATCACCATAATTAATTTTAAAAACAATTTATTTTTCAAATTCGCATCAGCTGAGATAAACACCGTGATAAATAAACACCGTGTACTTGTGAACCTATCAAATTACTCTAAATAATTTTTTGAACAATATAATTCTAAAAGTGAAAAATCCTTTTTATATGTGCTTGAAAGATAACACTAAATTTGATCAAATTAGCCTCAAATGATCCTATTCAAAATTTGTATTAAATGAATTTAAATTTTTAAGGTTTTTCTTATAAGATCAAAATAGTTCTGGAATCAATTCAAAGGAACGTTGAGAGTGTTGGAATCAGAGCATCTCAACATTTGAATTGATTCCCACAAGCAGAGACTAAACAGGATGGGTAAAAATATATCACTTCGAATCGATTCAAGGTTTATGAATCATTTCCCATAGAACCGATTCACAACATTCTTTGAATCAATTCAAGCATCCTTGACATTTTGAATCGACTCATTTAAGGTTGAATTAATAACGAATATACAGAACAGTCATGAAACGATTGTGGAGCAGAGAGATGAAAAGATGTATTAAAAAGGAGGGTAATTAATAAAACTGGAAGAAACTGTTGAATATTGCTGAGGGAATTTAGATTAATTACACAATTATCTAATAGGGTGATACTGATCTGAAACTCGTTTTGGAGGAAGCTTTCTCAGAATGAACAACACCAATGCTGATGGAACAATCTCTACCAACTGCATCACAAAATAATCAACAAAGACAAAACCATTCACTTTCGATATCACTTCATCGTCTCGAACATTTTTCAAGTAGCTTCAATATGAGGAATGTTGTATGTTGAAACTTACCAAATAATACATCAAGTTAAGTATGGGATGATCCAAAACATCAAGATCTGCTTCCTTATCAAATGCTGAAACAGCAAGCTACATAAAAACAAAGATCATGTCAAAAAAACAATAACTTGGCATATTTATAATACACAAAGAAACTCACCAAAGCACATCTTATCAAGAAACATGTGCAGCAAATACTCGTAACTGATCCAACCTGCCAAGAAAAATATTAGGAGTCGACAACCTTTTATCAATAGACCAACGGTCGTGGCTAAATAGAGTCTCGTAGTAGATTTTTGTGACAGTTATGTTTTGAGATACTAACCTCGTAAAGTTTCTTTTGACGACCTCTGGATTCAATGGGGAATCGCCTCAACAAGAAAAACAACCTACATCATAATGAACATGTTAGTGTTAACTTGTGTAACAAGAATGGGTGGATCCATTTGAAAGATTACAGAATATGTATACCTTCCACCATACAACAAAAATCCAAGAGAAGCACAAAATGATATAACTGCAAAACAGCGTTAAAACAAAGTTTACAATCCCACATGAAAAGAGTACATAGTATCCTTCAAAATAGATCATTGATCTTATTGCTAACTAATTCCACATGAAATTGATTTTTGATGTAAAATATCAAAACTAAAACAATGTAAACAGAAATAACCTGCAAGGAAGAGCTTAGCGGCTCCAGAGCCAGTGTCAGTTTTGCTTGCAGACATGTAAATCCAGAGGCAAATCTATAAACATCATGATTGAGAAGAATAAGAGACAGTAACATTATCATTATGAAGTAAACAACACCGACACATCATACCTGTATGAAGTAAACAACTCCATTTATTGAAAAATAAGCAGGCCTAAGCTTTTGTGCAGGTTCACTTCTAGCCTGAAACAGATTTGAGGCACATAAACTTAATAAAATTTGAAGCAAAGTTAATAATTAGTGCTATGTACATAAACTTAAAAGAAAGTTAATATACCTGGTGATATATCTCAGCCCAAAACAAAACAAGCAATGTATAAGTAGAGAAAAACAGAAGACCTGGAACTTCCATTAACACCTGTTCAAATGCCTATAACATAACATAACATAACTGGTTAGAATATGATTAAAAAAAAAAAAGGTAAAGAGATTTGAGAAGTGAAAGTACCTTTGGTTTAATTGCGAAAACACTTTCGTACAAACCAAAAATAAGAGCCCTGACTGTAAATGTAATAGGTAAACATAAATGAGTTTAATGTTGTATATATAAGTAACTCATATTTGAGCTAGATGAATCGTAAGTGTTTGTTTACCTCCATTGACGAGAAAATTCATCAAATGAAAAACCTTCTGTGTTGTCCATCCATATTCAGGCACTCTCATTTGAATCCGCACCAGTTGTATCTGAAGAAACAAACCAGAAAAAAGTTGATTACGAATTCATTTTTGGCATTGATCTAAGATTTTGAATGAAAGAGAGAGACGTACGAGGGCGACAAAGGAAACGGTTGCGTAAGCGGCACATAGGGTAGAGTAAATGCCTCTCTCCCATTGATCCTGATAATGAATCTCGTTGAGCGATTGAAGTGGAGATTCTCCTTCTGTAAATGAAAACGTCTTTGTTCTAAGTGAAAATGCCATGAAAACTTGAGGTGTAAACAAAGAATATCGAGATGGTAGAACAACAAGAGGAAGAGGAGTTTTCTTTCCTCTGTGGGTGGACACGTGGCAACAGGACACCTCGTACACGTAGGTTTGTTCTTATATACACGTGTGACATGGTGGCATATCGTTTTAGTGTATTGCTGTGGACAGACATGATATACTTTGTGCTTTGTTTGGGTTTCATGTATTCGGTTTCGGTTGGGTTGCTATCATACTTGACTTTATCATTCTTCCGATAAATTAGTGCACTTAATCATTTCGAATTGACCATTTCTTCTTCATTATCAATTTTTTACTAACACATAAATAATGTATTTCTTCATTCTTTTTATTTATGCTAATCATGGATATATTACTACTATTTAAGTATTAAGATTAACTTTGTAAAAAGTTATATTCTCTCTCTTTTATTTATCTTTTATTTATAATTAATTAAAATTGTTAAATGTACTATTTATGGTAAGACGGATCAAGTGTTATATTGATTGTTATTCGACATTGTATTTTATATTATTATATTGGTGAAGCCTAGACTACCATGGTAAAATTAGGGACAATTCACCTTTAATAAATTATATCAATAAAAATTTATTATATAAAGTTAATTTTAAAAACCACATATTAATCCAAAATTTTAGGATATTTGATCTATATCTTTTTTCATTTACCAAAAAAATCAATATTCTCTTTTCTATCCCATATCCCATGTGAGAATTATTATTCACATTTGATATACCAACATTTTACTACTCAAAAATCAAATTATATTATTTTCTTAATTTCATTTTGATTCTTTAACGTCATAGATTAATATGTGACTAAACGAATTATTTGTAACAATGAAAAATTATCTACAGTTTTGTTGTTATGATTTGTTTTCTTACACATTCAATTGATTAGTCTCGTCAATTTGTGTTATGATGTATTTTTTGTTGGTGCAAGGTAATGAAGTGGGAGAAGGAGAATGAGAATGAACAAAGAATGATAACAAAAGACTACTCTTGTATATCAAAATAGAAGAGATAAAGTAGGGTACAATATTGATAGTCTAGGATAGCATATTTATACTAAATATTGAAAATGCAAAAAGGCCTTATTAAAAGATAAGCATTGGAAATTCTAGAAATTAACTAAATTATCTTTCCAATATCATCCCTTAATTTAGATTTTTTATCAGAAGTTAACAACACCAATTTCATATCTCAAGCGAAGAAATTGGTCTGTCTTAACTGCCTTCGCCAGAAGATCTACTAGCTGTTTCTGAGTGTTGCAGTGCAGAACTTCTAACACTCCTTTCTGCACTTGACGTATGAGAAAATGATACTTCGTCTCAATGTGCTTGCTTCTTCCATGTAGCACTGAATTTTTGGCAAGATCAATTGCAAACTTATTATCAATCATCAGCTTCAGAGGTTCCCCAACTTCAACCTTCAAATCATGCAAGAGATTCAAAAGCCAAACAACTTGACAAGCAGCTACAACACCTAGGATATACTCAGCTTCACACGTTGACAGAGTCACGACAGACTGTTTCTTTGAACTCTAGGAAATGGGACCTCCGAGAAATTTAAACAAGTATCTAGAAGTACTTCTCCTGTCCACTCTATCTCCACACCAGTCAGAATCAGAATAACTTACTAATTATGGTTCTGTCTTTCTTTCAGAAGGAAACAACACTCCATATTTCATAGTTCCCTTGATATATCTCAGAATTCTGACAGCAGCTTGGAAATGAGACCACTTTGGATTACTCGTGAATCTGCTAACCAATCCAACTGCATAATAAATGTCAGGTCTAGTATTGCATAAATACCTTAGAGAACCAACCAACTGTTTGAAGGTTGTAGTATCAACAGAATCACCATCAGAGTCAGAATCCAATTTTTGATTGGTTTCTAATGTTGTCACAACAACTTTACAATTCTGCAGTTTAAATCTCTTCAGAAGTTCAAGTTCGTACTTCAACTGATGCAGAATGATACCCTTCTTTGAGTACAGAATCTCCATCTCTAGGAAATATGTCATATTTTCTAGATCTGTCATCTCGAACTCATTCATCAGAACTTCTTTGAACTTCTTTATATCTTCTGGGCAGCTTCCTATTAGCAAAATGTCATCAACATAGAGACACACCAGAATCATATTGTTATCAGAGTGTTGCACATAAATGCCATATTCCATCTCACATTTCTGAAACTTCTGCTTCTTGAAAAAACAAATAAATTTTTAGATTCCAAGCTCTGGGCGCTTGCTTCGGTCCATACAGAGCTTTATTCAACTTGTATACCATCCCTTCTTGATTCTTTTTCACAAATCCAGGAGGTTGTGACACGTAAACTTCTTCCTGTAATGGACCGTTCAGAAATGCAGACTTCACATCCAGATACATCAAAGGCCAATTTCTATTTACAGCTAAAGCAATCACCAGTCTGATTGTTTCATGCCTAGCTACAGGCACAAACACCTCAAAGTAATCTAGCCCAAGTTTCTGAAGAAAACCTCTAGCTACTAGTCTAGCTTTGTGCTTGCCAATTGAACCATCTGGCTTAAGCTTTAACTTAAAAACCCATCTGACGTTGATGGATTTTTTCTTATCTGGAAGCTTAGTCAAATTCCATGTTTTGTTCCTTTCTATTGCTTCAAGTTCTTCTTTCATGGCATTCAGCCATTCTTTCTTCTTGAAAGCTTCTTCAATGCCTACTGGTTCAGAATCTACTAACATGGCACATTGAATGATTCCTCCTTCAAAATCAACTTCATTATCCTGCAACATGTTGAAATCTGCAAACCTTCTTGTTTTTTGTCTGATTCTCTGTGGTCTTTGAGCTTGTTCTGAAACTGTACCAGAACTACTACCTTCAGAGTTACCACCTTCAGAGTTTTTCCTTCCAGAACTATGATCACCACCAGATTCTGGATCATCATCAGCATCTGGATCAAAATCAGATCCACTGTCAGAATCTCCTTCTGACATCTTCAGAATCTTTAGAATCAGATTCATCTTCTGATTCTGACTTATCTTCAGAACTTTCTAAAACATCTTCAGAAGCTAACTCTGGTGTTGGCACTAAACCAGAATCTGTTTGAGACTTGTTCCAATCCCATGCTTCAGAATCTTTCACCATAACGTCTCTGCTGACTTTAACTTTATTAGTTTCTGGACAATAAAGCTTATATGCACCTGTACTGTGATACCCCACCTGCAACATTACTTTGCTTTTATCATCCAGTTTTTGTCTTCTAGCTTCTGGAACGTGTTTGTAACAGACAAAACCAAACACCTTCAGATGACTGACGCTCTGCTTATCTCCAGTCCATTTTTCTAAAGGAACAACTTCCTTCAGCTTCTTCGTTCAACATCTATTCAGAATATATGCTGATGTGGCAACAACTTCTCCCCATAACACGTGAGGTAGCTTTTTTTCTTTCACCATACTTCTGGTCATATCAAGCAAAGTTCAATTTCTTCTTTCAGCAAGACCGTTGTGCCGAGGAGTATATGGAGCAGTAACCTCATGTTCTATTCCATTCTCCTCACAAAACTTCTGGAACTCTGTAGAGTTATACTCACCTCCACCATCCGTTCTCAGAATCTTCAACTTCTGACCACTCTGCTTCTCAGCCTTCACTTTGAACTTTTGGAACTCAGTAAACACTTCATGCTTGAACTTGATAAGTGTTACCCATGTCATTCTTGTGAAATCATCCATGAAAGACACAAAATATTTGTTTCCTCCAAGTGAAGGTACTGGAAATAGTCCACACACATCAGAATGTACTACTCCTAGAGCATGCTTCGCTCTGGGGGCTACTTCTGATGCAAATGGAAATCTCGGTTGCTTGCCTTTCATGCATATCTCACATGACTTCTTAGGCTTCACAATCTTCGAAATACCATGTACAAGCTTCTTAGAACATATATGCCCTAAGATTCTATAATTAAAATGCCCGAACCTCTTATGCCACAACTTACTGTCACCTTCAGTGCCTTCTGCACTAAGACACATTACTTAAGTTGTTTCTAAATCCACCTTAAATGTTATGTTGCTTCCTTGTTCAGACTTCATAATCAACTTCTGATTGGAATCATACAACGTCAAGAGATTATTTTTCATAACAACTAAGAAACCTTTCTCAATCAGCTGACCCACGCTCATCAGATTGCTTATAATACCAGGAACATACCAAACGTCTTTGATCAAAATATTTTTCCCATTCTTCACTCTAACTCTGACATCTCCCATACCTTCTGCATTAAGATACTTATCGTCAGCACATCTGATCTTTGTTCTCCTTCTGGAGTCAAAGTCTTTCAGCCATTGTTTGTTTCCAGTTAAGTGATTTGAACAGCCAGTGTCCATATACCACCAATTTTTTGAGCATTTTTCATCAGAATCAGAAGCCATTAGTAGCACAGGTTCATCATTAGAGTTCCCCTTAGCCATATGCGCTTCTTCTGATTTCCTTTCCTTGTTTGACCTACAATATCTGGCAAAATGGCCAAATTGTTTACAAGAGTAACATTGAACCTTCTTTTTGTCATACCTCTCCTTTCCTTTATGATATCTCTTATCATCAGAAGTTGATATTTATGAATTCTGGAATCTATCACCATGTTTATTCTGCTTCTGGTCTTTCTTGACAAAGGAAGCCTTCAGAGATTTCTCAGCTTCCCTCTCAGAAGTTCTCTCAGTCAGACATAACTCATGTGCTTCTAAACTGCTTTGCAATTCTTCTATTCTCATAGTTTCCAGATTTTTAGAATGTACAATAGAAACAACAATGTAATCAAATTGAGGAGTAAGCGACCTCATAATCGTCTCCATGATTACCTGTTCAGACAGAGTTTCTCCACACGCCTTCATCTCGTTAGTGATCAGGATCACTCTGGAGATATATTCAGAAACTTTCTCACTGTTCTTCATGTTCAAGTTTTCATATTGCTTTCACAGAGATTGAAGCTTCAAATTATTTAC